TAATATATAAACTATGTGACTGACAGAATCAACAGAGTAATAAGTTATCTGTATAATGATTAACAGGATGTGGTTATATTACACTATAACGCTGAGCTCCATCAGAAGACACGCTGCGTTGCCATGGCCAGAAAGAAACTGAAACAGCAAGGGATTGTGGGATTGAACCAGGCGCCCTGCCTACAGGGTCTGCTTCAACAGCTGCCCAACATGCTACAGGACCAGTACCTATCAGAAAAGGTAATTACTATTTACAATTATCATGTACACGATCATAAAATTAATGAGATCATATACACGATCATAAAATTAATGAGATCATATACACCATCATAAAATTAATGAGACGCAGATGAAATGGAACTGAGAGGTGTACAAATCATAAGTGTCAAATGTTTCTACATGCCTCCTAAATTTCTTGGCCCTTGGGGTGGGGATTTTTTATTCCATGATGTGTCGGGGTCATTGACGTCATCAACAATCGACATCCAGGCTTCACATATGGTAATGAGAAATTTACGGACGGTATATCGTAGTTATACTCTTGGAAATTATTTTGACTGACCAATCAAATGGCGTGTAACATCTCAAATGAATAAGAATTCTGTTTTAAATGTCTCTCTAATTCAGAGAAAAAATCTCTTTATTTTTTACCAAAACTCACTAAAAAAAATCACTGATATCACCAATTTTGCACTGGAAAGTTATGGCATGTATTATATTCCCCTGTAATGTCCTGTTAAAGTTCTGATCACTTTTAGATTAACAATAACAATATTTATTTTGGTAGGGAAATAAAAAGTATCCAGGGGGGGTACTTTTTGATAGAGATATAAAAAGTATTGGGGGGGGGATACTATCACATAACTGAAAATGTTTCAATATGCCTCCCCAAACCTACAAATTGCCAGTGATTGATAATAATTGTGCCATGTTTTCCTGGCCCAGGGGTTGGAGATTTGGATGGATCAATATTCTCCTGTAATGTCTTGTTCAACGTCTGAACTCTTTTGGATTTACATTATTTAAATATATAATTTTTCATAAGGGGGTACTTTTTACTCAGCTCGGAGGTACTTTTTGGTAGGTGTATAAAAAGTATAAGGATACCTTTTATCACCTGATTGTGCGGGGGAATGAAGGAAAGTCAATAAGAATTTGCCAAAACCTTGGTACATCTCCCGCATTAGGGTCAATTTAACCCCGGATATATATTGGAGATTACCCCTCATAAAACCCTGCAAAAACACAATTTAACTTCACAAAGTATTTAAAAACAGCCCAAAGACTGACCCCTTGTGATTACAACAGATGCTGATAGGCTGTAAAAATTCAGAGTTTAGCTAACAATCGTGTCCTATACTTGTTTTCCATCTAGATATGCCTGTCTAATGCCCCTTTATTCAATTGATTAAACAGTGTTCGCTCAATATTATTTTCAATGGATTAACTTTAGATGAATGTCAATTACCATGAGTTCCCAAACAATTTTTAGGTTACCACCGTTATCTGACTCATTTACTGAGTTATGCCCCTTTAAACAATTACTGAAACAGTGTTACCTTGATATCGCCATTACTACATGCATAACCAAGATGTTTTATTGCATTTATTGATCTACCAGATATGTTGTATTATTTCTCCTTTAACATCAATTACTCACAAATATTAAGATATATTTCAACGATACAAACACAACTGCTCATTCAGCGTGTGACTGGCGTATTATATAACTCTTCGCAGTAGTCTTGTTTTACAACTTGGCACAGTGAAAGCACATCATAGTAGATGAACATGAAGGAAGGATTTGTGATTCAATATTATACAAAGTTTTAATGCGTACAATGCTGTTTAAACAGGGTTTTATTTAAAGGAAAGATTGTGTTCATTTTCAAGGTTGCAGAGGTAAAATATTTAAAAAAACAACTTTTGAAACTTCGCACTTTAAATGGCCAGGGAAAATGTGAGGATAAAAATGCATTAATATGTCACATGTTTCATACAGTTTTGCATTGTCTCTGTTTTAGCCAATGGTGGTGTCCGGCCATCAGCTGGTACACAGCTCCTACCTACAATGTCTGGCCTCTCTGGCTGTGGGGCTGTCTTTGGAGCATGTCCTGTGTCACAACCAGACACTTATACATCACCAGCACAATGCAGAAGGTAAGGGTTAGCCTGGGAGGGAGAGGGGGTCGGTCATGGGTGGATTAAAGGGTCTGTCCGTAGATGGGGTAGAAGCCAATCTTGAATGGGGTGAGAGTCAAGTCTGAAGTCAATTAAAGTTCAGTCTGGGTTGGGTAAGGTATGGACCAGGGGTGGGGTTGGTGGGCAATCTTGGATTCGGTGAGGATCGGTGATGTGGTAGTGGTCATTCTGGGGTGCAGGATAGGGGTCAGACTGGGTGAGAAGGGGTCATTCTGTAGATCGGAGATGCATCAGTCTCGTGTAGTTGGGGTTTATGTCAGTCTTGAATGGGGTAGGGGTCAATCTGGAGATGGGGAGGGATACTGGTAGGGGTCAATTTTTGATGGGGTAAGGGTCAATCTGGAGTACTAGATAAGCATCACCAGTCTGTGGATAGGTTTTTGTAGGTCAGTTGTAGGTGGGGTTAGATTGAATCTAGGATGTGGTCAGGTGCAGTCCGAGAAAATGATAGGGGTCAGTCTGGCTAGGGATAGGGAAGGAGTTATACTCTGAGATGGGGTAGGGTTCAGTCTTTGATGGGGTAGTAGTCAGTCTTGATTTGGGTAAGGGTCGATCTTGGATGGGTTTGGGGTCACTGGAGGGACCTTTCGTAAACTTCACATAAAGATTTCCTATGATCCTTAGATACGGATATTAATTTAAGATGCTCCTCCCAATATTCTACACAGATTTGAATGCTACTTGGTATACATCACGCTTTTAGCATAATGGGATGTGAGCTAACTGAATATTTAGACTGGACTTACTGCCCCTATATATGGAGTTATGCCTCTTTGTTCCATAACATTGCTTGCAATCTGCCTTCCTAAGTATTTCATCAATGTCTTGGGCAGCTATGTCGTAATCAATCAATCGAGCGATTCATTCTCGTTAACATTACATATCAGATAAAATGTTTAAGTTCAAGCATATCAATGGCTATACACTTCAGAATGTCGATGTACACAAATAAAAGACAATTATTTCACTGTTAATAAAGAAAAGCCTTGTCTGCAGTAACAAAATGTTTTACTAAACGATCTTCTTTGAAGAACCATATCACTTGGACATATATATGGTCACTTCCAGGTTTTGACAGCTGAAACGGTCAGAAAATCATGCTTTCTCTTTATGTTATGTTCCAGTGTCGAATGTTGTATAAGACAAGATAAAAGTGTCCAATTTGTATTTGCAGACCAGGATCTGTTGGTGACAGAGTGGCAATGGCTCCTCTCCTACTCCGCAGCCATCAAGTCTGCTGATGCACTCGCTCAACGAACGCCATTCCCAGACTCCTTCAAAAGACTCAACAAGGACACCAGGAATGGAGGATCTGTTCCGATGGTGATACTTCCTATCATGTTACAAAAACAAAAAATGTTCTTTGCACTCTTAAGCCTACCAACATCAGATGATGGGCTGTTCAAATCACCCTTCATTCATTGTCCTTGGTTCGTCTGTTCTTAAACAATTCTTGTTGCTGCTGTTTCTCAGAAAGTATGGGAGGGATCTTTATTGAAATTTCACATGTATATCGAACTTTGGGACTAACTGGAAAACCAAGATGATCAACAGATTCCCACCATAATCAGATGCAATCATAAGCTTATTTTCTGTCGTTCATCAACTTTATCTTTCTAAAACACTATTAGTACTGAATGGCTCAGTTGTCATTGACCAAATTTGGTCTAGTTCATCTAGATAAAAGGAACTCTGCAGTATTGTATAAATGGAGGATGTGCCCCCCTCTTTTGGCAATTTAAGTGATGACATAATTTTCAGCTCACCTGTGCCAGTTGAGTTTATGGTATGGTATTTTGTCCATCGTCGGTTGTCTGTCAAATATGAGATGGAGTGCTTATAGTTTCCCCAATAAATGACCTTGACCTACTTTCAAGGCCACATTGGTGAAATTTATAATATCCTTAAACAACTTCTTTTTAATAACCAGTATTTGAAAAATCACAGAATTGAACCAAATAAATGTGATTTGTTGGACATTACAGGACAATGGTCGCTGGGATTTGAACATGGACACACAAATCATGTTGTGGGCATTACAGCGTCCTGAGGACTGGCAGCTGGGAGGCAAGTGTGAGGTGTTCCTTTGGGGAAGTGGTCGCCATGGCCAGATCTGTGAGGGTGGCCGAGCATCCTTCGTACCCACCAAAGTCTCCTCATTCTCTTGTGCTCAAAAGGTAACTACAGTAGAAAAGGTGTAGCTTGATAACAACATAGGCTTTTCACTGTTAGGACTGATTTTGGTCTTTGATCACAAACCCTTTACTAACATCATGGTCTTTACTCTCTATGAAGGAAAATGATAGCGTAAACCATCTAGCAACAGCTGATAATATTTTGCTGATTGATCGTTTTTGGTTGCTTGAACAAATTTCTTGTGTATATATAGCTTCAAGTAACAAGTGGTATCTTCTATGTGTTAATTATAAGATGTCAATAGTTATCTCCCTTTACAAAATCTTAAAATATGTATTTGTATGCTGGTCAATTTCATCGGCATATGAAACAGGTAACATTTGGTTGCTAGTTGCATTGAGTCCAACTTGAGTAGAAATTGAAATATATACCCATGCCAACAGCATTATTTTTCCGACCATTGTGAATATATTCAAAAATATGGATTTAAATGGTTTAGAAACTTAGTGCTTTGTTTGAATATTTATTTGTTTTAAACAATCATTCATATCACATACTTCTATGTTGCAATTATAAGGCTGTATATTTTCCTGGGTAAAGGTCACACGTGTGTGCTGGTCACCTGTCTCTCACCTGTAGTGATTATAGCCCCCAGGGAGCCAGTCCCATGCACACAGGTGTGACACTTATTACCTGGACAGGATTCATGTATAATAAACTATTACAGGTAACATGATGTAATAATGCTATACATTTTGTACATATTTTTATATGAAAAGTATATCAGTACACAGAAACTAGAATAGCAGGCCAGCAGACTTACATTTGTGGGATAAATTTCCTGACATGTTTTATTTCAGGTGATTTGTGGGCAAAACTGTACATTTGTGATCCAAAGTAATGGTACAATTCTGGCTTGTGGAGAGGGCAGCTATGGCCGTCTGGGACAGGGCAACTCGGATGACCACCATGCCCTTACCGCCATCTCCTCACTTCAGGGTCAGTGTCCATCTTATACTTATAATTCATCTCCAAATATAACAATGATAGAAATTCATCCAGTTTTATTTTTGTGCATTTCACCATAATTGAGCACAAGTGAAAAATATTATTATTTATATATATTAGTTACAACACACGGTTTATACATTCCAGGTCAGTACAGGGATATATGCACACTAACAAATTAAAAGCCTTATAATTAATAAAACTTCAGAAAAGCTCAAGATTTGACCTTGCCACATTTTTCAAGCTATTAAAGATTTGCCAAAGTACTATCAGCAGGACAAATACGTCTTTCAGTGATGAATGCCTTTCAAAATGCAAGTTCAGTATAGGTACATTATATGCAAATTATTGAGCTTAAAATGATTTCTCTGCCTTTACCAGGGTTTGTGGTGATACAGCTAGCGACTTCAGTGGGGTCAGATGGTCATAGCCTCACTCTTACAGAAAGCGGTGAGGTGTTCAGCTGGGGTGATGGCGACTATGGCAAGTTGGGACATGGCAACAGTGACAGACAGCGCCGCCCACGACAGATAGAGGCACTGCAGAGGGAGGAAATTGTTCAGGTGAGGTATACAACACGTGCTCGTGTAAATTGGTTATTTCCTACACACATCATAGTAGTAGTAGTAGTAGTAAGTCTAAACTAATGGGATTTGATACAACTTTTCACTGTTTTGGCAACAGGATTTACTTGAAATTGGACCATTGCTGTGTTAACGTTCTTCATATTATTATACAATTATGGACTTTTGCGTATGCCAAGGTTAATATCACTTTTTAGGTCACCTGAGCTTTGCTTAAGTAACCTATTCTGATCGCTTTCCATTCGTCATCATGTGTCGCCCGTGTCGTTAAATTTTTGGCTTCTCAAGAACCAATGAATGAGAATCCACTAAACTTGGTAGGGACCATCCTTGGTGGAACAGAATATCAAATTGTAAAAATGAAGTTTCTGCTCCTCCCCAGAGGGCTCAGGTGGGGCCCAAAAGGGGAAATCGGCAATGTTTCTATTCTTAAGACCTAGAAGTCCTAGAATCAAATACTCTTCCTGGATGAAAATACCTTAAGGTGTCTTATCAAAATTATAAATTTCATGACTCCTGAGTCATTCACTCCCATGTGGGGAGGGGGTAAAGTTCCCTTTAGTTTATATAGGAAATAACACTTTTTAAGTACAGTTTGTATTTAAATGCAGAATTGATTATTACTTGGTTGGAATGATCATCAAGGGATTGCAGTTTGATAGTATTAAAATCAAAAGTCTTAGCACTCCATGGGGCGGTTGGATGGGGCTCATAGGGGGGTATTAGGGTAAAATTTCTAAAATCTTCTTTTCCAGACAAAAAATTCCTAGAACCAAATTCTCTAGATGAATGAATATGTCTTAAAGTGCTATATCAAAATTGTAAATTTCAATATCCCTGGGTCATTCTTTCCCCCTAGGGACCAAGTAACGTTTACTATAGTTTATATAGGGAAATAACACTTTTGAGTA